GGGAGGCTGAGGTGGGAGGATCACTTGAGCCCATGAGTTCAAGACTAGCCTGGGCAACTTAACGAGACCCCATGTCTACAAAAAAATATTAAAAATGAGTTTCAAAATTAGCCGGGCGTGGTGGCACATGCCTGTAATCCCAGCCACTTGGGAGGCTGAGGCAGGAAAATCGCTTGAACCCAAGAGGCGGAGGTTGCGGTGAGCAGAGATCGTAACATTGCTCTCCAGCCTGGGCAACAAGAGCGAAACTCCATCTAAAAAAAATTAAAATAAAATAAAATTTAAAAACGAGCCAGGCTTGGTGGAGCACACTTTAGTCCCAGATGTTCTGGAGGCTGAGGCAGGAGGATTGCTTGAGCCCATGAATTTGAGGTTACAGTGAGCCAAGATCATGCCACGGCACTCCAACTTGGGCAACAGCAAGACCCCATCTAAAAATTAAAAATAAATAAAAAGAAAAATGTACGTGTGACATTATGGGCATTAGTCACTTGTTGAACATCTACTGTGTGCATCTGCACATCTACAGTCCCAGGGGCGGGGAACATTGTGGGGAGTGGGGGCATGTCATGTCCCCACCACCCGGGAACTCTGAGTCCTGCTAAGCAGACAGGTCCACAGCTAACATAATGTAATGTGATTGAGCCTTCACCCAAAAATATCTCCTTCCCCTACCCACTCCATTTCTTCCTACACCCACCCTGACCCAAACCCCATTTAGGGCATTCCAATCCAGCTCATGATTTTCAGCCACATGGCGAGGAGATGAAGCTATTTCAGGTTATGCACTTGTATCCCAAAGAGTTGTTTGTGCTTCGCTCTCTAAGTGACTCAAGCAGGATTCAGAGAACTGTTCTCATTAGAATCTTGTTCCCTTTAATAATCTAGTCTTCAGCCAGGCAGGGTAATGAATTGTTTCGGCATCTGGTTCTTGTTGCTTTGCAGACCACAGGAGAGGCAGTGGTGATGGCCCATCTCTTCAGCCCTGTGGCATCCCCACAGGATCCATGGGAGTCAAGGTAAGTTTCAAAGCAAATGAAACATGCTTTTTGCCAGGTGCAGTATAAGAAATCATTCCAGGGATGTGGTGTGGGGCAGAAAAAGAAAAGTAACCACAGTAAATCAAGTAAATTGACAGAGGAAATAGAAAGGGGAATAAGGCTGGTAGAGGGAAACAGAGGCAGGACGCAGTCCTGCTGGTGAGTGGACACAGTTGTGCCCCCTTGAGACCAGAGAGACCTCCTGAGGGCAGAGGGCCTTGGAGACCAATGTGAATCACTGAGGCAGGTTGTATAGGATGTCCAAGAACTAGGGAGGAAGAAGGGAAAGGGACATTTGGATGCAATAACCAGCATCAAACAGGGGAGCTTCCAGGCGATGGCGAAAGGTCAGAAGCTGAGTCTAAAATGCTAATGGGGGACAGCACTGAGAAGATCACCCCTAGCGAGATCCCAGACCCTAGGATGCCTTTCCCGTAAAATCCATCCAGGATTTCAGAGTGGCGTGAATGTGAAGTTTTATCCACATGTACCTCCAGCAAGGCCCTCACAGTTGGGAACAGGGAAAGAGCAGGGGAACAGAAATGAGAAGACTTGGGGTTGGGTGCATGGAGCTGCCCCTCACCTGCCGTGAGGTGCAGAGGGGTCATTTCACCTCCCTACAACTGTACTTCTCCCTCTGCACAAGGGGGATTGTGATGCCTGTTCCCCTCTCTCAGGGTTGTTTGGGGCCTCCATTTGGATACAACACAAAGTACTTTAACAAGTGCTTTGTAAATGGTGAAACAATGAGCATCTATAGATTCTATTTTCCTCCTCCTCTTTCTCAGTAGACAAGGTGGTTTTACAATGGCAGGAGGTGAGTTGAGCTTCTTTGGCAACTCTCAGTTTATTAAAATTACCAGAGTCCTCAAGCTTCAAGATCCTGTGATACTAAAGGACTTTCATTCCTTGTACCACCCTTGGTTGTATAAATTCTCAGAAACGTTTCTTCTAACATAAACATACTCATTTCCTTCAAGGAAAGGAATCAAAACAATTGGGTTATTATGATTCTATCATCCTGTTGACAAAATCTGAGACTTGGCCTCTGTAAAGCACAGTGGTTAAGAGCACAGTTGCCGGAGGCAGGCTGCTTGGATCTGAATCCTGGCTTCACCACCTAATAGCTGTGTGACCTTGGGCATGTTACTTAACCTCTCTGAGTCTTGGCTCCTTGTTTGCAAAATGAGGAAACAATAGCATTGGCTTTCTAGGATTGCTGTAATGATTAAATGAGTTTACCCATATGATTGTAGCTATGATGTAAACCAGCGCCTGGCTCATAGTAAGAGTTTGATGGATATATGCTTCTATGACGATGACGATGATGATGATGATGATTCTGGTGATGGTGATGGTAATGAGGACCTGTGTGGTTTCCAGGGAAACTCTTCACATACAACAAACACACAGACGCGTGTGCACACACACACATGTACTGTCTTATCAAAGCTAATCTTTTAATTAGAAATGAGAGAGCACTGGATGTGAACTTAAGAAACACAGGTCAATCACCCTGGGGCCCCACTGACTCACTTTATGTCACCAGCAGAATCCCTCAACCACTGAATGACTCACCTTCTCTCTCTCCCTTAAATGGGAAGGACAATGCTTGCCTACGCTGTCATGGTGCAAGAATAAGTGGGTTTATTTTGTTAGACAGCTTTGAACTTGCTGGATGAAAGGAGCTATTTAAGTACAAAGGAGGTGAGGGCAGCTGGGTCAGATGCTAAATTAAGACTAATCGAGATCACTGTTCATTATTGAGAGCTTCTCTTGGGTAGGTGCCCAAAGGGTGTGTCACATGTGCCAAAACACTTTTACCACTTGAGAAAAAGAACAGAGGAAGGGAGGGTGTGGCCACCTCTGACCCTTCCTGGGCTTCCTATGCTGTAAATCCTAATGCCTCTCAAGCAGATCAGTCCTATGTACATGAGCAGTGACCAACAAGTAGGACGCTGGGCTTGAGAGCAGTTGGAGGCAGAGCAACCAGATTCTCACTTAAGCTCCCTCCAGCCTTGGGGCTAGGGACTGTGATCACTCCGGCACCACAGCTCTGTATCAGGAAGACCTGGATTAAACCAGAACCAGCTGTACTTGTAACTTTTTCAGCAAACTACAGTGATTCAGAGAATTCACAGAACAGAAAGGGAAGACCAAAACCAGCTCCTAAAGTAGGTTTGGTGATTCCACTTCAATGCTTGTGGATTCACTGATCAATAAGACTTATAAAGCAGGGATGTACAGAGTTGTGGGGGCTAGAAGACCTCTTACAGCCATCTCAACCAGCCCCATCAGTTCCCTAAGTGTTCCCCTCAACATCCCCACCAGTGATTCTGAAGCCTCTGCTTGTCTCCAAGGATGGGGAACTCTGCTTCTCTGGCCAGCTGTAACGCTGAATTCTGGTCATGTGCTGATTCTCAGCCATGGATATCAAAATATGGAGCTTTTGATTCATGTTCTATTGTCTACGAATTCCAAGCTGAGCAGTTTCCAGAAGGACTCACCAACGGGAGTTATTGGGGAGGTTGGATGGGTCAGCTTGTTTGGGCCTTTCGTCCTAGACTGATAGAAATAACCATCATTTAACATTTTCAGAGTCTTGCAATGTAAAAGAGAAAGGTTCTATCCTGATCTGATGGTATGAAGGATTCCTCACTGGAGGACATATCAGGAGGGCAAGGTCAGCCCTTTCTGTAGAGGATCTGGCTAGTCAAGGGCTCACTCCTCAAATAAACCCCCTAACCCAGTGGTTCTCGAACTTGAACCAACATCAGAATCACCTGCAAGTCATGATAAAGCAGACTGCTGGTTCAGAAAGTCAGGGCTGGTGCTCAAGAATGTGCATGTCTAGCAAGTTCTCAGGTAATGCCAGTGCTACTGGCTGGAGGACCACACTTTAAGAACCACTGCCCTAACCCTTCTCATGTTTAATTTGTTTCCCCCTCAAAGCTTCCAAAGAACGGGCTTTGGTTCTGGTTCAAAGAGACTGGGTTTCAAGTCTTGACTCAGCCACCAGCTGAGAATAATAACAGCTGCTGCTTCTTTGCAGGGCTGATGTGGGGCTCTGTGACACAATGTCGGCGAAGCCCCAGCCAGTGCCTTGCTCATAATGGGCATGTCATTCTAAAAGCTCAATTTAAGTTACCTGTCCTGGGGCTTCTGGTTCATGTTCTATAGTCTACAAATTCCAAGCCAGACAGCTGCCAGAACCCACCAGTGGGGCTTACTGGGGAGCTTGGATGAGTCAGGTTGTTTGGGTCTTTCTAGACTGATAGCAATTACCATCACTTAATATTTTCAGAGTTTTGCAGCGGTCTGTGGTGCCGCAGACTTGAGCTCTTCCTTTACACAAGGACCAGGTGGCTTATCCAGATAAAAGGGAAATTTTACTTAGCGTCTATATTTTAAAAGTTCTATCTGTAAATCTGTCTCCAAATACACTCGGTGAAGTCCAAGGTTGGGTATCTCTCCTCTGTGCCACTTTGCCGCATCCCATTTTTAACTCCAGCCTTCACTGGCTTTGCCATCTCCCAGAACCACTCTGGTGAACCAGCCACAACCCCCGTCTACAGAAGCATGTGGCTCAAAGAGTTCCCAGCAAGGCTCTCAGCATGGGATGGAGATGCTGAGGCCAGACTGCGCTGGGCTCATTCTGCTACAGAAGAAAAGTTTAATAGCAAAATAAAAACAAGGGTGCCTGCCCCCTCTCAGACAGATCAGGAGGCAACAGAAGAGAGAAAATGGCGCACTCGAGACACCTTGAGGGGAAGAAACACAAATTCAGTCACAGGGGCTGAGCTGCTGGACTCAAACACCTATCCACAGAGTGGCACTGTCTCTCTTCAGTCTCCTGCCTGGCTGGCCAAGGAGGCAAGGCCCAGGTAGCAGGCCTGCAGAGCAGAGCCTAACGAGCTGAAGACACCTGCCCTTTCCCAGCACCTTGGGCTGAGGAGTGTGTCAGTATCCAGCTGATGAGCAGAGCCCATGGGTGGCCCAGGAGCAGGGGGCACAGGCTGCTGGGGCTGGACTGGGAGTGCTGAAGGCTGGGGTCGCACATGGGTTGCAGGGAAATCTGCATAGAGAAAAAAGATGTTTGAAACATTGGCATGAGAAGTATGTGAAAGACAAAAGTATATTATAGACACGTTAGAATTAAAGAGCGAAAGAGGACTTTAGACCTTAGAGGTCCCTCTAAGCCTGAAAGGGGCAATGACGTGCCCATAGTCCACAGTGGAGCTGGGGCCAGAACTGAGTGTACCTGTGTACCAGGCCAGGGTCACGTCCCACGTGGAAGGAACACAGCAGAAAGGCAGAAAGGCCAGAGGAACAAGAACTGCCCAGATGTCAGCCACTGATTCCATTTAAACACAGCCCCTCATAGTGTTCCTTAGTGCTTAAAGGGGTATATCAGCCCTCTGACCCTTTTCACAGGGAACTAAAATGAAAGAGTAAGTGACATGCCCTTAGCAATACTTTAAATGCTATCAGCACAAAGAATACTCATTACTGTAATACTTCTCCTAGAGAGAATTTAGCAAAACCTGAATGTGCTGGGCACTCAGTATTTTAGCCCTCTTTGGGAGTAGCCGGCAACTGGGAGCACAACGTTGTCAGCAAAACAAATGCCATGACCTGAAAACTCCCGCACACCCTCATCTACGTCTAGGCAGGCATTAGCTCACCAGGCCTACTGGTAGCAAGTTTGTCTCCAAAGATGGGATCTGCAATGCCACCCCCACCAGGCCTCCAGAGCTCCTTTTAGGTCATTCCCAAGAGAAGTTATCTGTTTTTGCACACGGTGTTAACATAGACAACAATAGGGCACATACTTGCAGTCCTCACTCTCCAGAAGGTTCCGGTATGTGGCAATCTCATTCTCCAGCCGGGCCTTCACGTCCAGCAGCACCTGGTACTCCTGGTTCTGCCGCTCCAGGTCGGCCCGGATCTCAGACAGCTGTTCCTCCACATTGTTGATGAGGCTCTGCATCTGGGCCAGTTCTATGCCGTAGCGGTCCTCAGCTTCACACAGGGAGTTCTGTAGACAGTCCTTCTATAATATCAAAGAAAGAAGGAAACAAGTTAAAACTCATGGATCTCTGCCTCCAACCTCTTAAGATTGTGACACCCCAAGACATTGCCAGGTCCATAGGGCAATCTAACTCCCTTTAGCTGTCCTGGGCCAGAATAACTAACACTCTTCATGGTAGACCTTTAAGATCAGAGCCCTCTGACCTGAGTTAATATTGATTCACTCAACATCCACATCTACAGGGAAGTGCTTAAAAAAGAGATGAAACCAAGGTTTAAGCTGAGTCCGTGGTTGGTGTTTGAGGCCTGTACTGACCCTAGAGAGCTGCTCATGGGTAGTGAGAGCCATGCTGGGTCTCCCGTGCATACAGAGGGACTCACCAGCGTGTGCTGAGCCTGAAGCTCCACCTCCAGGGCGTTCACCGAGCGTCTCAACTCCAGGATCTCCGACTGGCAGCACTGCAGCTCCTCGGAGCAGGACATGGCCTGCAGGCTGATGCCTTCAGACTGGAGCACAGAGAGACACGGTCACCTCCCTGCCCAGATGGAGGCCAATCCCCACTGCTTAGCAGTCCCCCTCACCTGGGCTTGGAACCACTGCTCCACATCCTGGCGGTTGGTCTCCACCATGGCCTCATACTGGCCTCGCATCTCCCCCAGCACCCTACTCAGGTCAATGGTGGGCTCAATGTCCAGCTCAATCCGGAGCTTGTCTCCCAGCTGACCCCTCAGAGTGCGGGCTTCCTGTAGGCATCAGAGGAGTATGAAGTATGACCCGTCTGCAGAGCCCCCCACTGCCCTTCACCCAAACTCTCAACTCCCACTTTCCATCCTCCCCAGTAATTTCCCTGTGCTCCTCTGAAGATAAACCGCTGCCTGCACCAGCCCAGCAGCTTCCAGAAGCTGTGGACGAGAAGCAATCTCCCACCAAAAGCCAGAGCTCACCTGCAAAGCTTCAATCCCAGGCAGAAGGAAGCCTCCATTTTTTCCCCCAGATGAGCCTGAATTCACCTCCAGAAAGTCTCAATGCATCACACCAGGGGTCACACACCTGCTCATGGTTTTTCTTGAGGCAAAGCAGCTCTTCCTTCAGGGACTCCAGCTGGGCCTCCAGGTCACACTTGGCGAGGGTGAGGTTGTCCAGCACCCTGCGCAGGCCACAGATGTCAGCCTCCACCAGCTGGTGCAGCAAGCGCTCTGTCTCATACCTGTAACAGGGAAAGTGCAGGAGTCACAGTTACAGAGCAGGAAGGGGCACCAGGACATGACTCCCAGCTCGCAGCTGTAAGTCCACTGTTCTGCCCTTCGCCGTCTAATCGTGAGTTGGCTTTTCCTGTGTAGTGTGCTCAAAGCCCAGAAAGCAACAGGATATTCCCCACTCAGTCAATACTAAGCACCTGAGATGAACCAGGGGGAGCAGCTGGTACTGAGGATACTGTGATGGACACACAGCCAGCACCTGCCTTTACAGACAGATGGCCCAAAAGGGAGGTGGCAAAGTAACCGGGTCTTTGCAACACGGTGGAATCACTGCAGACCCCTCTCCACAAGCCCCATACTCAAAGGGACCCTGGATTCCCTCTTAGAGTAAAAGCCACATTGCCAGAATGAGAGGAAGGAAATGGCTTTCTTTTTCTTTTTTTTTTTTTTGAGACGGAGTCTCGTCGCCCGGGCTGGAGTGCAGTGGCCCGATCTCAGCTCACTGCAAGCTCCGCCTCCCGGGTTTACGCCATTCTCCTGCCTCAGCCTCCCGAATAGCTGGGACTACAGGCACCCGCCACCTCGCCCGGCTAGTTTTTTGTATTTTTTTAGTAGAGACGGGGTTTCACCGTGTTAGCCAGGATGGTCTCGATCTCCTGACCTCGGGATCCGCCCGCCTCGGCCTCCCAAAGTGCTGGGATTACAGGCTTGAGCCACTGCGCCCGGCCAAGGAAATGGCTTTCTTTAGCTCTAGAAGAGTGAGACTTGCACAGTGCCCCGAAGAAAGATGATAAAACCCAGTGCCCCTTCCAGCACCCACCTCCTTAGGTGGTGTCAACCCTTTGACTTTCACATGTTTTTGTCTTAGGCTATGGAGCATGATTTCTGCTATGAATTATCAGCACTCACAAATTAATCAAGCTGCAGCACAGAAACATATCCTTATTAAAGCAACAGTTTCTCAGGAAATTTTCAATAAAGGAAAATTTGGTACAAAATTTAAGGCCAAGTCCCAGCTCTGCCACTCAGTACCCACACGATTTTTGGCAAGTCACACCAGCACCCCCAGCCTCAAGGGTCCCCACCTGCAGAGGAGATGCTATCCCTGCCCCCCTGCTTCACAAGTTTCTTACCAGGTGGATGATGCATTCTAGCACATGTTGTAAACTGTTAATGCTAAACCACTGGAGAGTGGATAGTTTTTCAGGATCTTGAGCTTAATGCCTTTTGTTCTCTCCTGCTGTAACTACTGGGTTGGGGTCTGGGTCGATGACATCCGATGCCACATGAGACAGAAGCAGCCAACTTGGCATTGTCCCATCCCCATCCAACCCCAACTCACTTGGCTCCTTCCCATCCCCGTCCAACCCCAACTCACTTGGTCCTGAAGTCATCCGCGGCCAGTTTGGCATTGTCTATTTGCACAACCAGCCTATTGTTCTCCGATTTGGTGCACAGAATCTGGGATAAGAAAATAGGTTCAATAAGTGACTTACTGATCCCAGAGACGCCTATAGCCTCAGGTGAGAGGAAGTTTTATTGGCTGAAGTTGAACCTACAGCATCCCCCTGGACAACACAAACTCCCAAACATGCAAGAGATGTTTTCGTGGTGTGGGAAGAAAGATTTGCAAGAGACTTCTTGGAAAAGGATGAAGACATAGAGTCAAAGGAACCAGGAGATGGAAGACAGTAGCAAACTGAACATATAACAAAGATTTGCTGTCATTTTGCCAGATAGGATGCTTAGCCCAATATAAATAAGAAGATCTGGCCAGGCACAGTGGCTCACAGCTGTAATCCCAGCACTTTGGGAGGCCAAGGCAGGTGGATCACCTGAGGTCAGGAGTTCGAGACCAGCCTGGCCAATATGGTGAAACCCCATCTCTACTAAAAATACAAAAGTTAGCTAGGAGTGGTGGTGAACGCTTTTAACCCCAGCTACTCAGTAAGCTGATACACAAGAATCACTTGAACCCGGGAGGCAGAGGTTGCAGTGAGCTGAGATTGCACCACTGCACTCCAGCCTGGGTGACAGAGTGAGACGCTGTCTCAAAAACAAACAAACAAACAAACAAAAAATCCAGAATCTAGGCCACAGAACAGTGGACTAACTATGAATGTTTTAGATAAAGTAGGATCTGTTCTAAAGAAGTTCTTTCCTCTGGTTGTCCAACCTCCCTACAGGTCTTCTCTGAATCTAGCCAGGTTTCTGTAACCCCTATTTTGACATTCCTTGTCTTCCTGGCTCTGAAACTAAGATGTAGGCTCTTCAGAAGCTTTAGCTGGATAATCAAAAGTGACAACAGATATGCATAAGATGCTGATGCTGTTGTGTGGATAGACACTGCCTTGGCAAGGATGTTAGGAAATACTCCTTTTGCCCTGTTTACTGCACGGGAAGTTTCAGCATACAGCAACTGTCATAAACACAGCACGGTTTTTGCATGGTTTTCATGAAATTAGCATGGTTTTTGTGACTATGATTTAGGGATTTGATGTGCTGAAGTTAAGTAAGCATGAACTCAGAATCCTGGAGAGATAAATTCCACATCTCACCCTTTACAAACTCCCATTCACCTTCACTCAAGAGATTCTCTTCCCACATTTAAAAAAAAAAAAAAAAAAAAAATCCACTGCTGACCCAGGGTCAGTAATCTTTTTTTGTAAAGGGTCAGATAGTAAATATTTTAGGCTTTGCAGACCATACAGTCTCCATTACAATGACTGAACTCTGCCACTGTAGTACAAAAGCAGCTGCAGACAACACACAAATGCATGAGCATGGCCATGAACCAATAAAACTTTATTTGCAAAAGCAGGTGGTTGGCCGGATTTGGCCGACAGGCAGTAAGTAGATTCCTGAACCCTGATCTGGTGCACTGCAAACCTCACCTCCTGCTGGAGCTCCTGGATGGTGCAGAAGTAGGACTGGTAGTCCGGGCACACACTGGACTCATGGCACTTGCTCCTCTCACGGAGTTTGGTCTCCAGTTCTGCATTGTCCCGCTCCAGCTGGCGCACTTTCTCCAGGTAGTTGGCCAGGCGGTCATTCAGGAACTGCATAGTCTCCTTCTCGTGTCCATTCAGGGTGTTTTCGCTGTAGGCCCCACAGATTCCAATGTTGCCAGGAATGTGGCGGGTCCCTGGCAAGGGACAAGCGGTGTGGCAGGTTGGGGGCAGACAGAGGCTGGGGCGGCCCAGGGGAGTCGACCCCACACGGACTTGGTTGGCATGTGCCACATTAGCCAAGAGGCACAGGGAGGCAGCTTTGGCCTCTGAAACCTGCTCGCTGAGGAGGGAACTGCAATGGTCAGAAGTCATGGTGCTAAAAGGCGAGATCCTGCTTTGCCCACAGTTGGATCTGCTTGAAACCAAAATCTTCCTCCTCCTGAAGACCTTATATAAGGCTTAGTGGGTGTTGGTCCAAGAAAACTGGCATTTTCCTCATTAATATTTATGTCAATTGTTATACAATCACTCTATTAGTCAGTGGTTTTTGTTTCCTATAAAGAGTTAATGAGCTCATGAAAGAGGCCCTAACCTCTTGCTTCCCATCACTGCAGGGTCCTGGAAAACGGAGAAAACAAGGTCTTCTTCAAGCAGCCCACTTTCTGTGGCTGTGGAATCTTTCCCTTCTGTCAGCTTATGTGTATGAAATAATCAAGAACTAAAGACTCCTAAAATTTCCTGCAAGTCTCTCTCGCTCCCACATTCTTTTCCTACCTCTGACTGTTCCCACTGCAGCAAAACCTAAAATATCAGTCAATCAGGCACATTGCAGAAAGGGAAAAATCATGATTTGTTTGTTTTGATAGATATTTATAGAGTGCCCAGTGTGGGACAAACACACATCTAGGCTGTCTTGTAAGAAGGGGATTTTAGATTTCAATAAGAGAGATAAGAAAGTAAATGATCTTGATATTATGAAGACAGTAAAAGGAGGTATTTTTTTAAAAAGAGCTGCAAAGATTTTGAGGTGGAAGAGAGCTCACTGAGAGACCAGAAAAAGACTTCATGGAGTAGGGGATTTTCCAAATGTGTATTGAATTATATTTTCCATAAAGCGTTGGGGAGTGAGTTTCTCTCAGAGAGAACAAAATAAACACAATCAAACATTTGGAAAATGGAAAATAGTCTAGTTGTGTTGGTGTTTATAATGGAGACATTATCCCCAAGCCCTGGAAAGTTGCATTGAGTCCAGGTTATGAAAAGCCTTGAATGCCAGGACCATGGTCTTGAGGTAAAGGTGAGTGAAAGGTAGGGATCTGCCCTGGAAGATGACTTTCAAGTATAAGGAAAAATAAATAGCCAGGTTCCTTTTGAAGGAAAGTGGCAGAAAAAAGGTGGAAAGTTCCTTCATACAAATTGTTAGAAAACTGAAAGTGAAACCTAAGTTCCAAATTGATCTTGGTTTGTGAAAACTAACACACTTTTTAATACTCCTTGGGTTAAAGAAGAAATCAAATAAAAAAAATTTTAAGTATTTTGAACTGAATTAAAATCAATACACAACCTATAAAACAGATGTTAGCAATTAAGACTTTCCCTGTGCATACGTGAAACAGATAAGCAGTTTGGGGAGTGAGGAAAAAAGGCTCATAATAAAACTGATGGTTTGCAATTTTCAGGAAATAAAATTATGCTTCTGTGTACTGGAGTCTACAGGCTAATTAAGGCAGGCAGTGATTAACACTTTATGGTGTCTGTTCTCAGGGCCTCACCCACCTTCCCAGGCCTCTTTCCTTTCTATTGACCCTCTCACCAGATTGAGTCCCTCATCACCCTTGTTTACAGAAGATACATACTAAAGAACTTTGATCTTTCATCTTTTGAAATATTTTTGCATTTCTTTGAAATGCACCTACCTTGATTGTCCATTGCTTGGGAGACTCTAGAACAAAATTTAAATTTCCTTAATCTTCAGACACACTCAGAGCATCAGAAGCTTTATAGCCTCCCTTATTTCTAAAACAAGCCAGTGACCATTTGTTCAATAAACCCTGGAAAAGGGCAGCTAGCCAGCTTCCAGTCTATGCTAACAAAGATGCTACTTTGACCCCATTCCTAAGACGAATGAATTCACCACGAGGGCCCTTGAAGCAGCAAGTGTGTGCTTCAGCTGGCCCTAAAACATAGCATCTCCAGGACGAAAGGGACTTCAGGATCCTCTAGTCTAGTACCCATTTGCATTAAATCCCCTTTAATGGCCTTCCTCTAACTAGTCATCCAGTCCACCATTTTCCAGGAGAGCTCACACCATCAGTTCCTGTGGCTTACAAGCAGCTTCCCACGCTTTGTGCAAGACACTGGTATCCAGAAAATTAACAGCAGCTAGCTCAGCCTTAAGGCACTCACATTATAGAGAATTGTTAGAAAGTCTTCACAAATCTACCTTTGTGTTACCTCTCCCTGTAGCTTTCTTTGGGTCATTCATTCATTCATTCAACAAACATTTATTGAGTACCTACTCTGTGCCAGCCAGGGACTGAGCCAGAGGCTGGCAATATATTGGCAAGTAAGTCAGAGAGTTGGCCCTGTAGTTCATTTACTCTCCAGTTCTCCCCAAGGTGTCCCATACAGGATAAATCTAATCATTCTGTCACATTCTCAGTTCTTTGTGGCAGATGTGAGATTTCTCACTCATGGTTCTGCATTCAGCATGGTTCTAGATCCCCTTGCCATCCCAGGAATATTCCTCTGGACACGCTCCGTGATGTAACAGTTCCTATCACTCTTAAGTGGGGGCTGTACAGTGGGATTTCTGATGAGTTTAGATTGAAAGGCAGCCAGTAGATGGCCAGAAAATCTTCTTGCCCAGAAGTTTCGTGTAAACCATGCTGGTCCCACTGGCTGTTCAGCCATGACAACCAGTCAGCCACCACTTGGTCCCATATACAGTCAATGAGACCCATGGGGACCCTTCCCTGTAACTCTATACAGATGTGGGTGATATTCTCCAAGGCATGGCTTACCTTGTCCTGGTGACTTACTCTAAGTGTCTGATATTCCTGAACTCCTGTTATACCAAAGCCCTTCTCAAGGGGATGGGGAATGCAGAGATGAAAAGGAGAAATTTCCACCCTCAAAAAGCTGAGAGCAGAAAAAGAGGTCACGTAACTCAGTGGAGGGGTAAGTGACTGGGCCTTAGAGATATAGAGGGGCCATCAAAGAGACTTTGTCTGGAACTTAAGATTGGGAAGACTTGGATGGGCAGGAAAGTGGGAGACAGTTTTCCAGAAAAAGAGGATGAACAGGCCAGGCAAGGTGGCTCATGCCTGTAATCCTAGCACTTTGGGAAGCTGAGGCAAGCGGATCATGAGATCAAGAGATTGAGACCATCCTGGCCAACATGGTGAAACCCCATCTCTACTAAAAATACAAAAATTAGCTGGGTGTGGTGGCGGGCGCCTGTAGTCCCAGCTACTCGGGAGGCTGAGGCAGGAGAATTGCTTGAACCCGGGAGGCGGAGGTTGGAGTGAACCGAGATCGCGCCACTGCACTCCAGACTGGGTGACAAAAAAAAAGAGATAAACACAAGAAAACGCTCAGAAACAGAAGTGGGCTCAGGAGAACTGGGTATAACTTCAGAAATGCAACAGCCAACAACCGGCCTGTCCCAAGTGCTGGATCCCCAAAGAAATGAGTTTGAATGACACAAAACGTCAACCCAAAGAGCCAAATTGCATTTCTAAAACCTGTAAGACTGAAGTTTGTACACCTCTATGCTAAAAATATTGTCTGCTTCTATTTTCGTAACATCTCCACCAGCGGTTGTCAAACTTTAACCAGCAACCCCCAGAGGGCTTGCAAAAATGCAGATTTCCAGGCCCCACTCCATAGTTTCTGATTCAAGTGGCCTGGGGTCAGGCCGGGGAGTCTGCATTTCTAACAAGTTCCCATGTGACACTGATGCTGCTCGTCTGGGGACCACCCTTGGAAGACGGAACCACCGCTCCATAGCAATAGACAAGCTTTGTGGTGACTTCATCCTAGGTAAATGAAGCACCGGGTCACAAAACAGGATTTGATGAATTCAAGAGGAGCCCGTGTTTGGATTACTGTACTTCAAATCAGTTAGCATGCAGTTTTCTCCAACGTAAGAAGCAAGTTGTTTGTTTTCCTAGTTCGCCCTTCTTTGCGGAGGTTTGTTTTAGGAGGATATCTAGGATGAAGGAGAGAGGAGAGACAAGAAGGAAAATATGAACACTGTGTTGCTTATGCCTGTGGGGAAGAGGCCAGTCCATGTGAAAAACAATGTTTGCAGAAGACAGAGAAAGGTCACATGAAGTAATATTTATTGACATCTATTATGTGCAGAGAACCAAGCTTGGCACTTGGTATACAATATTTTACTTAATTCTCTCTCACACACACACAAATCTATATGCCCAAATTAGATAGACACCTACTATGTGCCACCTACTATGTTATTTGACCACCTACTATGTGCCACCAAATATTATACTATGTGCTTCCCATATCGTCGTGTCTTTTCATCCTTATAACCACACTACAAAGCAGTTACAAGTATCCCACTGTAGAGTGAAGAAAACAAAGCTCAGAGCAGTTAGGGAAGTTATCAGAGCTCACAAAGTTGGAATGAAAGTATGGGCCTTGAAATGTCAGCCCAGGTCTGCCTGAGCCTGAAGTCCAAGTGCTTTCTGCTCTGCCCAGTGACCCAGAAAGGGGCAGATAGTGGAGTCTGGACTGAACCACAGGCCAGCACTCCTAGACGCCAACTGTCCAGCTGGATTTATTCAACAAATAGCTATGAGATTCCCGCTCTGAACCACACAACTCACCTAAAGAGCTAGAGACAGAACAGAGTCCTCTGGAGGTTTTCGAGCAGATGAAAGAGAGAAAGGAGAAATTTTAGAAGATTAATCCAGTGTCTGTCAACCTAAAATAATCAAAAGGCTCAGGATCTGGTTAAAAGAGTTTTTGCAAACATGGCACGTGAGAGCCGTCTTCTGGGGACACACGAACACCGAAGAATGGCAATCAGTACTCCCAGTGCGGGGGGAAAGTGAAGATCATTTATATAGGCAGAAATAGAGGTGCCGAACAGAATTACAACGTTTTCCATACAAAGGCTAATGTACAGATGTAAGATCTGATTGACTGCTGTTGATTACACTCTCGTGGGGATGCTTAACATTCTGTTGTAAAGAGGCAGCAGTCACAAGGGCCTCCTTCTCCAATGTCATTTACTCCAGGTTTGAATACAAACAAGGGAGTCTGGTTACTGTGCAACATGTCAACACACAAGTCAGGAAGCAACAGTCCTTGCAGGAGAGAAGAAAAACAGCTATATGGCATGA